AAAACGCTGGATGCTGTGGAAATGAGATAAAGAAGGAAAGAGAGAGGAAGTGGGAAATTACAGATAATGAAAGAAGTGAATGAGGGCAGAGATAGGCTGTGGATGAGGCAAAGTAAGCCTCAGCTCAGGGGAAGTTTTGACGTTGGAGATTTTCGAAGGTTGGAAGTTGTTGATTGATGCTGGCGGTTGACGGTTGCCAAGTGAAGTGGGCTTACGTCATCAAAGTTTACTTCGGGAAAGTCGGATAATTATAGAGACAGGTTCGGTCTAACATCCAGGGGAAGATATGGGGAGAGAAATTCAGTCAGGAAATATATCATTGAGTACAGAATCGGATGTATTATTTCCCGCTTAGGAAATGGGTGAATTCATGCCAACCAACTATGAGGGATACATTAACGATAGCTGCCCAGCCAGGTGAAGTTTTGGCCTGGGTAACAGATGAGACACAAAGTAGGCAAATCAAATATCAAATCACATGGAGAAAAAAGGCCACAAAAGATCATCAACCCGAGTTCTCCCCAACGCCACCACGCCATCCCTGACCCGGTTCCTACATAAAAGGAAAAATAAAAAAATAAAAAATAAAAAAAAAAGGAAAAGAACCCTTCGCCGAGAAAAGATGAAAAAGCAGAAAACACGACATGATATCCCATCCCAGCGTCTCGCCAGTAACCCCATTGATGTCTATCTATTGGTCAGTTACTCTGCATGTCCACCTCCAAAGCCGTAAAACCAGCTCAACTAAGCCCCATTCTGAGCATTCTGCTGTTGAGCACCAGCACCCACCATCTTGCGCAGTTCGTATTCTTTGGTGAACTCGCGGCTGAGGGCGCCCAGATCCTTGACCAGTTCGTGGCAGGCAGTGATGACAGCTTCCTTGGGGGTGATTTGGCCGTCTGTCTGCACGCGAAGAATGAATTTGGGGATCAGGGGATGCGGGACCTGTGGAAATGGGGAAAGGGGGGATTAATATGAAATGAGAAATATGAAGAGTTCGTGGGCAGGAACGGGACGGATTAGAAAGTATACCTTGTAACCGGAGAAGAGGACATGGGAGCTATTAAGAAGACGTGAACGGATCATGTTACCGAGGGTGTGGTCTTCCTTGTTAAAGGTGAAGATGGCAGTGGATGGGACTCCTTATTGATGGGTAGATTAGCCACCACCATGTCCCAAAAGCTGATGGGCGAGAATGGGGTATCAACTCACGAGTATCGACTTCAACCTCGACCTTCTTCTCACCAGGAAGAAGGACGAAGGATTCGAATCTGATTTCATCAAACATACCATGTCAGCCAGGAATGTAACATTATATCGCAAAGCGTAATAGTTGCACCCATAAAACAAGTACCAGAGAGAAAAAGTAACGCAAGATTCAACTCCAAAATAAAGCCAACAGCCACGAGACACAGCAAAACCAAAAACGCCAACGAAAAAGGCACGCATAGAGAACAAAACAGGTAAATGTCCGAACCTAGACACATTGTCCAGATGGGGACGGACTTTAGTCCTGCAGGGGTTCTGGCGGTAACTTGCTGCAGACGAGTCGAAGAAGGTCATAGAGCGCTCACGCTCGGGATCACGTTCCCTGGGGAGACGGGTGATGTCCATGATCAAGCGTAAGATGGGGAAGGGGGGGGGTGGGGGTGACGGAGAGGATTTGTAGGGGTATTTTTGTAATGTAAACAGAAAAGGGGCAAGATGATAGGTTGTTGGATGCTTGTTGCGCAGAGTGATGGTGATGGCGATGGTGGTAAGAGAACGAATGGGAGGATGGTGAAAGAAGATAGAGGATTTCTGAGAGGGAAGAAGAAAGACTGATGAAAGGGGGCGGCATCAACGGAGACGCAGCAACAACAACAACAACAACAACAACAAACAAGAAGGGATGGCTGACGGGACAACATGACGGGCCGGGCGACTCAAATGCCATCCCGTTGCTGAATTTCCACTTTCTTCTGGAAAATGTAGCAAACATATATAGAGCGATCGACTGACACCCGGGAATCGTACAGCGAGGAGAAAAGAAAACACGCCAAAGAGAACATCTAATATCTTACCTCTCAGGGGCATTCATCTTGAATTACGCCAGCTGCTGGAGGAGATGGCCTGATGACAATAGGAGACAGGGGAACAGCAAGGAGAAGACCAGAGAGTAAATATAATGATGAATCTCCTGTGCTCCTGCTGCCCAGCAGAAGGAGTTTGACCTCGGATACCGGCCCCCAAGCTCCAGGCTTCCCCTTGGACAGACTTGATGCGGTGAATAAATATACCAGAAACCTTCGCCTTAAAATAAAGCCTCGCCAGTCCAGAACTTAAGAAAAAAACGAGATATCCAAAAACGCCTTAACCAAGTGTCTGCAACTGCTGAAAGCCGCGACAAGAAAGAATCAAAGAAACCAAAGAGAGAGGCAGACCAAATACGTGTTCCAGAATGGGTTAATAATTTAAGGATATCTGGGGGTAGAGGGTATCCCAAGAAGAAACAGATGGAGTCTTTATTATCTGCTCTCCAGAGCGAATACAATATATATATATATATATATATATATAAACAAGATGTCGGTGCTTCCGTTGTCCTTCCGGCGTTGGATCTTTTTTATTTTCTTTTGATATGTTAAGCCGGGCGGAAAGGAATACATGTCACGTGGTATGTATTACTAAGGGACTCGGACTTATGAATATCCGCCCTCCGGACACCATTACGTCATCGGACACCCGCCGCACATCTGACAACAATGTCCTGTCCTACATCAGAGCATTCCAAGTGTCGGAGTACTCTGTATAAAAATACATATATACATCAAGCCGAATGTCATGTCCGCGGTGCCATTGGCAGTATCCTCGCTCAGTTTCCCAGGTAAATTGTAATAGTTAATGGTGTTCTCTCACTAGGAATAGTTATCACAACCTCCAAGGAGCTGCTGGTTCCCGGCAGAGTATTCATACGTACTGAGCTGAGTCACAGAGTAGCTCCAGGATGCGATTAGGGCCATTCCCATATGAGATGGGAAAGGATACCAACTGCGGTGTTTTCGTGCTCTGGAAAGGCTGAAAGGGTGAATTGTGTTCTTAGACCCCGCATTTCCCTTTCAGCTCTACATCCCTCCACCTAATCGCGGCGGAAGTCCGATACGATCTCCTACCCATCATCTCCCGGAAAATACAAGATCCAACAACAACCGCATTATTCCCGTAAACGCCTCTTCAACAAAAAGTGTAAAAAAAAAAAAAAAAAAAAAAAAAAACATCCACCATGTCGACCATCCACGACCTCCACCCAAGCATCGCTGCCAACACCCCCGCCATCGTCTCTGCACCAATGCTCGGCATCTCCTCCCCCAACCTAGCCGTCTCCGTCACCCGTGCCGGCGGCCTGGGTTTTATTGGCGGAGGCTATGACTCCACCAAGACCGAAACCCTCCTCTCTACCGCCGCAGACCTCCTCTCTTCCTCTCCAATCTCAAGCTACAACAAAGTCGCCAACGACCCCCTCCCAGTCGGCATCGGCTTTCTAAACTGGGGCGCAACGCTCCCCGACGCCCTCCCTGCCCTCCAGAAGCACACCCCGGCCGCAGTCTGGCTCTTCGCCGCCCCAGACCCAAACCCGCAAGACACCCTGGCAACCTGGACCAGTGAAATCCGCCGCGCAACGAACAACCGCACACGCATCTGGATCCAAATCGGCTCCGTCAAGGAAGCGCTCGACGTGGCTGAGAAAGCCAAGCCGGACGTCCTGGTCGTGCAGGGGAGTGATGCAGGAGGCCACGGCCTGGTGCGGGGCGCAAGTATCATCTCGCTAGTGCCGGAGACGAGAGATGCGCTCACCCATGCTGGGTATGGTGGAATCCCACTTGTGGCTGCGGGGGGCATCTCGGATGGGCGCGGAGTCGCCGCAGCGCTGTGCCTGGGCGCGCAGGGTGTGGTGATGGGCACGCGGTTCCTGGCGTGTTCGGAAGCGGCGATCTCGGGCGGTTATCAGCGGGAGGTGCTGCGGGTGACGGATGGCGGGGTAAGTACTGTGCGCACGACAGTGTATGATATTATGCGTGGGTATAATGCGTGGCCGGAGCGGTATGATGGGCGCGGGGTGGAGAATGTTACGGTCCGCGACCGGGAGGCGGGGATGGATGATAAGGAGAATCAGAAGCTTTATCAGGAGGAGATGAAGAAGGGCGATGCAGGGTGGGGGCCCGAGGGGCGGTTGACGACATATGCGGGGACGGGGATTGGGTTGGTTAAGGAGGTTAGGACGGCGGGGGAGATTGTGAGGGGTGCGGTGGCGGAGGCGAGGAAAGTGGTGGATGCGGTTAACGAGGGTTTTGTAGGTTTGCGAGTGAGGGAGGATTTGGGAGGAGAAAATGATTGATGTATATGCATTTTTATTGTTCTATCTGCCCAAATGAAATCCAATTATGATTACCGATGTATGTATGTGCGTATGTATGTGATTCCAAAAGGGAGGCAATTTTCAATAGGAGAATGACAGAAACAAAAACAACCACCAACGAGCCATATATTCGCCAATATGAGTGAAACATAAAATATAATAATAAAAAAAATGCCACATCAACCACAATACAGAAAGAAAAAGGACAAGAAGGAATTTTGAAGAAAAAGGAGATCAGGAAAGTGGAGTGAGTAATTACACCAAAACAAAAACCAAAAATCAAGCAAAACAAAAATCAACTCAAAAACACCAAGATACTATATGTCCCAGTGCAAAAGGTCAATTAAGAAAATAAATCCAAGAAAAATCCAACTCATTTCCCAGCTTTTTGTGTGTTCACCCTCCCCCTTGTACCTCTCCAATCTCGAAATGCGCTTCCAATGGATTTATATTGGCAACTTAGATAGTAATCACATCCAATGCTCCAGGGGCATGCATGCATGTTGTAACCCGTCTTTCAATCGATGCGAATACCACTTTCCCACACTACCCAAAAAAAGGTGTTACAGCACCTGCTCCAAAATCCACATGCCAACACAATCCCTTAGGCTGCCGTAGTATGATGGTGATGATGATGATGGTGATGAAACAATTCCCCCAACGATGACGCCGTCTTCTTATACTTCCACCCACTCTTCTTCTTCTCCCGCGTCTTCATCATCTCCGCCCACCCTTCATCCTCATCGTCGTCCTCCGCATTCCCATTCTCATTCTCATTCCCTTTTCCATTCCCATTCAACCCACCTCCAACCGGCGTCTCAACCCTTAAGTGGCTCAACGGTCTCACCCCGGCAACACCAGTCCCCGAGGAAAAACTCATCCCCCTCTTCCCCTCATTCCACGGCTTAAGAGTCGAAGACGTAAACGTCGACGACCTCCCACTCATCGTCCGCTCATTACCACCCACCTGTATGCCTGACCCCGTAGAAACAGGCCGATACCTCGACGCGGTGCCGACGTTACTGCGCTCCGATGGCGCGACGGATGGTGCGTAGGCAGTGGCCGTCCCTGGCAAAGGCCCAATGTTCATGCCGAAATCAGTTTGGTAAGGGGAATTGGGGAGGAAGGATGATTGGCGATTGGCCCATCTCGGATCGAGGAGGCTGAGGGTTTGATGGTCAACTTGTGGCGGGCCTTGGTTCACGTTGGGGCCGGGACCCATGGAGAGCATGGAGACAGGCCGAATGGGGCTGCCTGGGGTGGTCATCTGTTGACCCGGGCTTGCGCCAGGCATGGGCTGCGTGGGCATGCCTTGCATTTGCATCATGGATTGCATCCATTGGATCTGCGTCTGCATCATTTGAGTCATCATCTGCGCCTGGCCATAGTATTGCTGCGGTTGTGGCTGTTGCGAGTACATCTGCTGCGGACCCAGACCCATAGGCGAACCACCTCCACCAGGCACATTCAAGAAATGCGGTGACGGTGTATTCATACCCATCATATTACTCCAATTTCCCTGGGGTCCGTTCATCCCTAAAAAACTATTAGGAGTAGTAGCCCCATTCGGACTTCCCCTACGCATAGCTTTCGCCCTCTCCTCATTCGCAATAACCCCTACAAGTCCTCCGGGTGGCAAACCGGGCGGCGCACCGTAGACCGACGGTGAACCACCGCCCAGAGCCAATGATTCGCGGTGTGTAGGGTTAATAAGGCCCGCGCCAATGTTATAAGGATCGCGTGGGAGGTTGCGTGCGAAGACGGGGAGGCTGACACGGCTGGCTTGCGGGATTGGTTCGGCTGAGACGGAGGGCGGGGGCTGGACAAACGACGCCATTGAGGAGCGGAGGTTGGGGTTTGAGATTGAGGGAGTGAGATGGCCCGGTGGCCGGACTTTGTTGGGGAAGCCGTGGGCGGCTAGGATGCCCAGTGGGATGTCCTCATCTTCTTCTCCGTCGCTGCTCTTGCCGTTTCCGTTGGAATTACCGTTGGTAGATGTCTCCGGAGCAAGGAATGATGTGCGGCTGAGGTTGCTGAGTGAGCCTGCTATGCTAATATTTATATCTGAGTCTTGTGGTTTGGCCTGCTCTCCCGTAACCTTCATCATCTGCTGCCTGTATACCGACAGATGAGCTTCCTGCCTCTTTCTTTGCTTCGCAGCCTCGCGAGCTTTCTCCACCTCATCCTCCTCGTCATCGTAGTGGTCACTGTCGTCGTCCGAAAGGTGGCTCGAGGACGTGTCTGTTTGCTTCCTTGTCATTTCCTTCTGCTGTCGATAACGCTCGAATTGAGCTGGCGTCATCACTTTGTTAGGCTGATTGTCCGAATGGCTAGCTTTTTGTTCATATCGTTCAGCCAAAATGACTTCCTCGGCTATTGAAGCTGCAACAGGGGAATCATCGTCGTCGTAGTCCGTTGGTTGTTTCAAGGAACTATGCTGCTGCCATCCGCTTCCGGAGAAGTCCGAATTTTCCCCGACAGGAGAGATATCCGATGTCTGCGTCCGTCTGTGAGAGACAGCACTATTAACTATCTTTGCATCCTCATCTTCGACAGAGGCAGTGCGTTCAAGATATACTGTATTTCTATATTTTCTAGGGCTGGAAAGCGCATTGTGCGTTGGTGAAAGGGAGCCTTTGGTGTCAGGAAATCCTGAAGCCCTAGTGCGGACAGCAAGTGGGCGTGATACTATAGCATCGTCCTCCCTCGAACGCGTACGGCCCATGACGCCCTCCTGTAAATTCTGGTTTTCATTTGTATGAGGTGAGAGTTCAATATCCCTGGAACGGTAAATATGTGCGGGGGAGAGGTCCTTTGCAGGTTCTGGCGGTGGTGGGAAGCCATATGGAGGTGCAGGGTTCTTATTAATGTATGTGGTATTAGTATACTCAGAAGGCAGGAAATAGAGAAAGAGAATAAAAAGAGTGGGGAGAAGGGGGCCCCGGGAGGTTCCGGGGGGAGGTCCCGGGGGGGGGGGGAATTCCAGACATACCTGACTCAGCGGACTTGGAGCCAAAGGCCCAGCAGCCTCTTTATCCAACCCATCAAACATATTCTCAAAGCTCATCGAATCACCAGGGCCCAAATCCGTATCTGGCAACCTCGGAGGAGTGGTTGTATTGGTAGCACTGCTCGTTGTAGCACATTCTCTGGTAGAAGTCGACGTAGCAGTTGATGGCAGCACCCTGGACCGGGGTGTGTTTACAATAGCGGCAGCATCCGGCCGATGCGATTTAGAAGATTTGGTTCCAAATGAGAATGTCCGGCCAGCCGAGCGAAGAGAGAAGAAGGAAGATTCATGAATAGGGGGAACGGGGACGTCTTGGATGGGGATATCAGTTGAGCTAGGCAAAGTGGACGAGGAACTAAACTTGGCAGAGGAAGCGGAGCTATCGTAAAAAGGACCAGTCGAGGCAGAATTGTTAGTGCCTCTGCTTCCACTTGGACTAGTCAATTCCGCGACCTGCCCTCCTCCCGCTGCTGCTGCTGCTGCTGCTCCGCGTTCTCCAGGATATAAGGGAGCGGGATCGGTGGGGTGCACGTACCGATTTTCCGCGCCGGGAGCGGAAGGGTTGAGTCCTGCGAAGATATTTGTAGCATAGTGGTCTTCTAAGGAATGCTTTGTGCCGCTGCCGTCGCTGATGCTGGAGTTTAGGGTTGTAGTTCCATCGAAAGATTTTCTCACGGGACCCGGACTAGGACGCTCGAAGACCTTGAACGAGGGTTTAACAGGTGTAGATGCAGGGCCTAAATCGTCCAGGGCATTTCCATGGGATTTCCGCCGAACAAAGCCCTTGGGCAACTTGATTGGCATGGGGGAGGAAGTGAGGGGGTATTAATTAGGGTAGAAGGGGGAGGAGAAGAGAAGAGAAGAGGGAGCGGGGGACGAAGGGAGAGAAGAGGAGGGGGGGAGGGAGAGGGGGGGGAAGAGGAAAGAAAAGGAAAGAGGGGAATGAGAGGTCCCTCAAAGGCAGTGTAGGTTGTGGATTTATTTTTCTTTGCCTTATATAGCTTCTTTATTTATATAAGTCGGAGGCGGTATCTTTGGTTCCCAACCTAACTCATGCGCGGGAACCACGCGCTGCAAGGATGTCGAACCAGGGAACCCACGACGAGCCGGAAAAGGCAGAAGCCGACGAGGGCGGATGGACGGACGACAAGGGAAGAAGCGAGGGAGATATTTTTCTTTTCTTTTTTTTTCTTTTTTTTTTCTTTTTCACGATGACATGGGCCTAAGAGTCCCCAAGAAGATGGGAATTCCAAGTGGGCTATGGCAGTTAGTTTGACGGAGGATAGAAGAAAGAGACGAGGTAGAGATGTTGGTTGATACTGACCGGTTTAGGGGCAAGACAACCTCAGGCAGTCTCAGGTGACAGGGCTGTAAGATGGACAGTTCGGAGGCAGAGACAAGGCCAGTGGTATTTCGTGGAGCGAGGGAGGAGGGAGGAGGTAGGAGGTACGTGGGACGAAGTAAACGATCGAGAGACGCCGAAGATTGGGAACCAGCGAAGGATCGAGACAAGGCAACACAGGAGAGGAGGGATCGCAAGCCAATTAAATAAAATAAAATAAAATAAAATAATACAAAAAAATAAAATAGTAAAACGATAGAAGAGAGCGAAAGCGAGAGCGAGAGCGAGAGGAGAGGGGGATTAGTTAATGAAGATGGCGGAGTTGTTGGAGGTTGAAGCTTGTCAAAATGTTTTCAAGAGGAAAAGTGATGGAAGCTGAAGGTGTTGTCGCTGTCATCGACAGCGCAACCGGCTTAGTTGGTTTTGTTCGGCTGGCGGTTGCTGACAGTTTGGGGCGGGCGCGATCTCTTGGTGTTGGGCGGTTGGGTGAGTGGGTGAGTGGGTGAGTGGTTGAGTGGGTGAGTGGGTGAGTGGGTGAGTGGGTGAGTGGTTGAGTGGTTGAGTGGTTGTGTGGTTGTGTGTGGGTTGGAAAAGTTGTGTCTCTCTCTCTCTCTTCTCTCTCTCTCTCTCTCTCTCTCTCTCTCTCTCTCTCTCTCTCTCTCTCTCTCTCTGGCTGGGTTGGAACGAGACAAGGGGAAAAGGAGTTTGAGTTAAAAAAGACTGCATAAAATAATTAATGCACTATTATTTATTGATTACTCCCTTTAACAACTCCTTTATTTGCTCTTTTATTTAATTCTTCACTCTTCCAACTCTTTCCTCTTCTCTCTTCTGCTTCTTCCACGGCAATAAATGTCTGGGAGCAAAAAAATAAAAATTAAAAAATTAAAAAATTTAAGGGAAAAAAAAGAAACTCTTCTTCTTCCTCTTCTCTTTTTTCCCTCGCGCTGCCGACGCCATGTTAGTTAGTGGCGATGTTGTCCGCAGCAAAACAACAATCCAGCTACGTCTGGCCCCCAGCTACCCAAGCCAGTATCGTCACATCAAGGCATCCCCTAGTGAGATTCTGGAGGGTCTAGCATAGTTAATCGATCCGGGCCCGAGGAAGAGGGGGGGAGGGGGGTAGGTTTGGTTCAGTGCCAGTTGACTTCTTACAAAAAATGGAGCCAAAACGGAGCAAAACGGAGCCAAGTATGTCGTTCCCCAGCCCTCAGAGAACTGGCTAAAGAGGGGGAAAAGGAGAACATCTCAACAAATTCCGTGCTACTCCGTACTCCGTCCTGTCTCAGAAGATGCTGCCATGTTCTTTTCACCTCTTTTTTCTTCTTTATTTGCCCTGCTCTACCCTGCATGGGATGAGATATATAATGGCATCTTCGGAGTGCACTCTACTTCTCTTCTGTTTTCCAGAACCCTCTGCCGGCTTAAAGGGTGGCCCCCCCCCCTGTCTCCCTTGTCTCATTGTTCTTCAGTCCAACTGTTGTTATTGTATTATTGGACACACATTAATTATTGCCTTGACTGACTGGGACATGCGCCACCTCTTATTTTCACTAGTTTCGCAAGTAGGCGTGTAAAATTGTTTATGCCAGCCCACTCTCACACCACTCCATCCTTCCATGAGCTAGCTATTCTGTTAAGAGATACATTACGACTTCTCAAAGTTCTACCCTCAACGGCCGAAGCTGGCTACGAAGGCAAAAATGCAGTGTCACAGAACGCTCTTCTACATTGCTTGTTCAATTCTTCCCTCAACTGCCCGGATCTCAAAAGGCTTCCGAGATCTCATCGTGGGAGAGAGAGATGAATAAGGTTGAGCATCATCTCCTTTGGGGGAGAGCTGAGAAATTTCATAGATTCGCCTAACTATATACTCCCGGTTTACACTCATCAAAACCTTGTAGTTGTAGTTAGTTACACTTTTCCTTTTCTGGAATCTACTTGCTTAGTTCCTTGTCTTTCTCTCTGCCAATACACAGACATGCTGTATATGTTTACTTATTTATCCAGTTAATAATCCACACCTCTCTGCCCGACTGCCTATGAGAGCGGTTGGCACCTTGGCAGGTTGGTTGGCAACCAGTGAGGCCGGCATATCAGCGCCTCCCTGTAGGCGGTTAGGAGGTAGGGAAGCCTGTGGGCAAAGCAAGACCCGCGCAAAGCAGGCCGGCAGGCAAGGGAGGGTGTGTGGATTAAGATTTTCAGGAGACAGAAATGTGGGTTAGTTAAGTTCCAGGTGAAAGTTGTTTAAAAGTTGGGGCCCACTTTTCTAAAACCATGATCAACTCTGGTCAACCCCCAGCTAGAATAAACACAGTCTAACAGGGCATAGTTGGAACGTTGGTTTTAAAAAAAAAGTTGAACATGGTTTGAAATCTCAGCCTGAAAGGGAAAACCTTCGCTTTCATTCCCATTTTCAATATGTATTTTAACTAAAACTACATACAACTAGTCATACCTTACACATGTCCCACACACATCTCTACCTGCTCCTGACGTGGGTTTGGTCCCTTTACCCTTTAACTCTTCATCCTAACCCTGGTGTTGAGGGTGGCGAGGTTGAATAGAGATGGAGTCGTAATATTTGTGTGGTTGTGTGCACGGTTATGTAGACTGTTGTTTTATTTGATGAGGATCCTGGTTTTAGAAAAGTGGGCCCTAACCTAAGGACAACTTTCACCTGGAACTAACCCCCCAAAACCAGCAGTAAAATTTCAAAAAAGAAAAAAAGGGACAACGAGTTATCTAAGGTTTTGAGGTGGGAACTAGTTAACTAGTTATTAGGCTTCATAGTTATATAAATCATTTATTGGACCTGATCCCGCCATCACGTGACATGTTTGCTTTGACATTTTTCCTTTATCCCTTAAGCAAATTCCTCTCTTCCTTTCTTATTCTGCTCCCACCAATAAACTTCATGCGGAGATTCATTGTCTTTCCACCTGAGTTACCTGCTCCGTACTACAGATTATTAACTGTCTCTCATGGCCTTGTTTTCTTGTTTGAACTCGACGCTACCAAGGTTCAAGGGTCAGTTTTTGCCGCAGATAAAACCTGCACAAAAATATGTTATTCGCTAGTTTACCTCGGCAGATCTCAGCGTGCAGGGACCCAACAAAGACCATTCCTTCCGTGGATTTCTCACCAAGCTTCTCTCCAACCTTGAGAAAATCTGCAATGGGAATGTCAGATTTCTTCTTATTTCGATACAACTCTCATGCCACAGGCTTCTTCTGTACAAACTCCCCGGGGGTTCTACTAGAGCAATACAACTCTAGGGTAACGGGTGCCTATAGTTAGCCGGTGGCTACTTTAGTGTTTGATCTTATTCGATGAAAAAAGGCCTTGCAACAAAATTGGGTGGTAACTAGCTCACAACAAAGAGAGATTGAACTGAGTTGAATAACTTTGAATCCAATGTATTAATGAACCAATTCTCATTAATTATTGCATTACTATTATGCACATTCATTTATTAACAAACAAGACTTCAGCTTGCATGGTGGCATGGTATGCACATGTGCACAGTCAGACCTCTTGAGTGTGAAAACATGCGTAACCTGCCTACCAGAGATGTTCGTCAGGTACACTTAACCTTGTTTCTCAGGGCAGGGCAGCTCGCTTAGACAACTCCAGAACTCTGTCTTTAAGGTGTGTGGTGGCTAATAAGAAGCGAACCCTCATTGGGAGTGTTTCTATATAATAATGCCTCTCCCGCCTCTCCTCTTGTCTCCACTCCACCTGCAGCTCCTCCTCCCTATCGTCATTCTGCCCTCCGTTTCCGCTCCCGGGACCCTAACTCCCGCTCTTGCTGCTCTCCCCCCCTGCTCTCCCGCAGCTGACCCAGCCATGCCTCTTTGAGACTCGAGATAACCAACCCATGGGCATATGGATACACCATATTCCAATCCACCAGATACCCCAACGACTAAAACCGAACTCGGCATTTCCATTCAGGAGTATAATCTGCAATCTGCAGTCTGCACTAGTTTGAATATTACCCAACTACCAAAAGTCCAAGTGCGCTGCCATTCAGAGCAGATGGACAACGCGGAGTAGCAATCGCTTACAGCCCATCGTGGGCAAAATCCCCTCGTCGCAAAGCTTGCGGCTTCCGAAGCACTATATACCGTCTCTGATCCCAAAAGAATCAAGAGCTCTCGTGATGTTCAACCTCTAGCTACACCCTGGAGGGCTCCTTTCCCGGTTAAGATAATCTAGTACCATTAAATCTCAGAAGCTCTCTGACCGTTCTTCTACAGCCTGTAGTGTTAGAAGAACGGAATGGCGATATCGAATTCCGAGTCGTCCCGCAATGATGGCACTGAAGAGAGCTGGGATTATCCTTACAGGTCTCCAATGCCTCTTTCGAGAGCAATTTCCGAAAATGCCCAAAGATTACATTGCACGTCTTATCTACGATCGCGCTCATTTGTCGATCGCCATCGTCAAAATGCCTCTGGTGGGTATTGGCGGAATATCCTTCCGAGAATTTCGGGACCGCAAGTTTGCCGAAGCTGTTTTCTGCGCCGTTTCATCTGATCAGCAGGTGAAAGGATACGGGGATCATATCATGGCCCATCAATTTCAAGGATTACGTCAAAGCTTCTTCCCCAGAAATGCATTTTCTAACTTACGTCGATAATTACGCCACGGCTGTTTTCAGAAACAACATTTTCCCAGAGAGATCTCTCTTGACAAGGCTATCTGGAAGGGCTCTCAAGGATTGCGAAGGAGGGACGCTCATGCAATGCTCCATGCTTCCCCGAATATTACGTTATCTCAAAACCGGGCCGTATGCTTCTCAAGCAGAAGAAACCATACGTGCAAAAATTAGTGCAAAATTAGTTCCCTGAGGAAAAGCCGCACCATCCATCAGTCGCCTCCGCAGTGGACTGACAGCGCTGTCACTCCAACAGATCCACTCTCCATCCCTGCGATCCTGACAACGGGCTGGTCTCCAGAAATGTATGCATTAGCACGAGAACCACGCTGCGGACCTCATTTCAGTGAATGAACTTCGACATTTTCTGCATCAAATCCAAAACCACAAACAGGCATGGCCCCTCCTCAATCCGGTCAACAGGGATGAAGTCCTGGATTTATTATGAGGTCATTGCATCCCCAATGGATCTATCGGTTGCAGAAAATAAAAAGAAACTGTTGACTAGTTAGCTATGGTTAATCCGACCAGGAAAAATTGCATTGACAGACCCAGGATAGACTGGATCGTAGGCCAGTTGTCAACAGGAAGACCTGCCACAAGCGGAGGGTTCTTCGTTCCATTAAGGTACTAAATAATTTGCTGTTAGCCAAGGGTCCTTCGACTCAAGGGTATGAAATCCCCGGCAAAATCTGGGGAACAGCTAAAAATGATTGGTTCTTGAACACCCTGTCCCCACAGTCAAAATTGCTGAACGTAATTCTGTACCCTGGTTGAAAGTCCATGGACTAAAAGGTGATACTATCTATCCCGTGGGAACAGGACAGAGGTGGACACAGAATTCCACATACAACTGGAATTCCCAAGATATAAAGCAGATTAAGAGTAACTAATGGCAAACTGTTTATTACATTTGTGACAGACCTTCTTGAATTGCTGAATGCCTAAACCAAGGCCTTCACTTTGACCCTCTGTCAGGCCAATGACACGACTTACATTTAGGTTAATACCCAAACCTCCCAAACCCAAACTCAAACTAACTCCATATATAAGCCTCTCCAACATCCGGCAGGATGATGCCAGTTCTGCCCATGTCAACTCTCGCAGCTGACAATGGGAGTGGGGCTTACCACTGTAACTCTGAGCTATAAAATGTATGTGGTAGAGTTGCTTTGACGAGTTGATAACCCTGGACCTAGAGATATTTGTGTGAATATATTTTATTTCATAATATATATATATATATATATATATGGGTTGGTTGGAGGAATGAGTGAATAAAATATTTGCAGTATCAGGTGATTGCCTATCCCTGGTCGATTTTCATCCCTGTGGTAGTTAAGGATACGACATGGTAAAGAAGGTCATGTTGACCTTTAAGCCTTCCCCCAAGGTTAGAAAGGTTAACTTTATCTTCCCACGTTTCCAGCAGGCGGTCAACAAGAGGGTGGAAATAAGCGCATCAAGTGCCTGGTTCCTGGTTCCTGGGATGCTGGAGTGTTAATTCTGAGTTCATACCAATTAGGTATTGAAAATGTCATGGAGCTGGGATTATGTATTAGTCATCTGCTTGTCCGAACGATTGTGTTAACGTTAAGCTTTATAGATCAATGCCCTGATAATATTGACTCGGAGAACTGCTAAAAGAAAGACGAACTGGGCAGTGGCAAAAGAGATCTGTCATGGTTGCAGTTGGGCAAGAAATGAACTAATAAGTAATAAACATGGACACCAAATGCTGTAGATAGACCAACTTGTAAAACGGTTGGGTGCATTGAATTAACGGCTCAACGTTACGAACATTAATAACTAATAGTCAACGTAAACCGCGTTGCGTAGGGTAACTAGTTAGCAAAATGGAGCTAGATGACTTGCGCATCGATACATAGTTACAGCAATACAATATGTAATCAAACAATTATGTCAATGGAGTTTTGGAAGCTAGGAAGTTGGGTATTGGGCATGTTTGCTCTATAATAAACAAAATTAGAAAGAAAGGAAAGAAGAGTATCAAGGAAAACCCCAGTCACTTTTTTCGGGGCCTCGGGAATCGTAAAATCGCTGCTTCTGGAAATCCATCGCCAAGTTACGAGATGTTGGACATAAACATCAATCATTTGAAGACGATAATGACACGAGCAGACCGAAAAACACCCACTCGCACCACACCTCAAAAAATCTGATCGATAACCTTCATGCTATCCTCCTGCAAAGCCGTGTGGTGCGCATTCAACCCCCCAACAAGTGCCACGCCAGGCGGAACCTTGACATCGCGAATCCCAAAACACGCAAACGCAATAACCTTCCTCAGAGCCGGACACGACCGAAAAATGCCAAGCACAAGGGAGTCGTCCGCAGACGTATGAAATGAGATATCAAACTCCTTCAAGCAGGGGTGCTTTTGCTCCCCATCAAACACCTCCGATAATGCCTTGTGCGAAATATGCCGGCACGAACAGATGTTGAGGGCCTCGATAAATTTTCCGGAATGGTTCATCAGCGCCTTGAAGCCTGCTGAGGCTAGGCCGATGGGTTCTTCGGGGCCATCAGGGTTCCTGTTGTCCACGTCACGTGTGCTGGAAAAGTCAACGTGGGTTAAAGGTGGATTATCCCAGTCGGTAAAGAGGCTGGAATACGATGCATCTGTGCATTTATCGTTGTCTGCGAAACGCAGTTTGGAAAGCCGTCTGCAGCGTTGATGGATCATGTCTAGCATCTCATCCTCGGCGTTTTTAAAGCTGACTAGTGACAAAGTTTGAAGATTGGGTCCGAGTTTGTCGACCATGTCCAGAAGCACGTTGGAAGATGTCTCTTTCAAAAATTCTAGAGAGAGGTGCTCAAGTTTGGAAAGCTTTGCAATGGAACTGAGTGCGTCGTCCCCTAGTAGCCAGCAGCTTTTCAGCTTCAAGCGAAGCAGGTTGGTGCAGTGTTCAGCCATCACAGCTATCGACTCGTCATCGAGCGCGGAGTCTAGGTTAGACAGTTTGAGGCTTTCGAGCCTCGAACCGCATGTTTTAAACAATTTTTGCCAGCATCCGTTTGATATCAGGTTGGAGGCGTCGAGATGCAGGTGTTTGAGTTCTTTGTTGTGTTCCATCATATACTCCAACTGCTTATCCTTCAGCTGACCTGCAAAACGTAGATTGACTCTCTCGAGAAATGGCATGGTAGAGAATATCTTCTGAAAATCATCTTCCTCCAGTTCTGTCGCGTCTTACTTTTAGCGAGGTTACTATTAGTCGTGGTAAAAGGGGAAAGCATACTTCCGCAATCATATATGTCAATGACAGTGACGTCTCCACGCAGGAAAAGATCAACAGTTAGTGGATTCAACGCTCGTCGCTTGGATAAAATGTGGCTAAGTCTCAAGACAAGATCGGGCGGGAGATCGCCAAACTCCTCGATATTGTCGATATGGTCTGCGACTGTCTATGTACGGAAACAGCAATAAATATATAAATCCTGAGGTCGGAATTGCAAGGATGAGATCGTGACTTACTTTGATACAGCTCTCAACGAGGCTGGTTGCACCAAGCTGGGCAATACCGTCTAGAATCTTGCTAACATTCTGGCGACGGCCCTTTTTAGTTTTATTCGCAAATGCCTTTTTGGTCTGCTGGTCCCGAAGGTCTACGAGCTTCGAGCAAGGGGAACACAGGAGACCACCTCCTGGACCAGCTTTGCTGTATGCAGTAACCGTAAAACGTGTTTGGCAAGATTCGCAGTTCTCAAGTTGGCCAGGCACCCTGTGACTTGCTTTCTTGCCACGAACCATGGAGTTAAGTATTTTTGCATCGTCAATTTGCTGGCCTTGGACTTTTTTCTGCTTCGCGGCCTTCATGGCTTTCAGTGCGGCCTGAGACTTGCGCTTTCGTCTATTCTGGGTCTCAACAGCAACATCTGACGTCTCCTCATCCTCAGCTATTCCCCCCTCATTCCTGCTACTGTTGTCTTCAGTGCCATTGGCTTGCTGACTATTTTGTTGGCGAGCCTGCCTCAGGCGTTGTTCGTAGTTGTTACGGATTTCTGCGGCAGAGATATTGTTGGACTAGGGATGAGATCAGTCAATTGCGCACTTGGTTGGAGATTATATATACATGAATGTACATATATACACAAAGTGACAAAGTGAGGGTACAACGTACAGCCAGGAAATCCGTCAGAGCGGAATGCCTTCATGTGGTAGACAAGTTGTTAGTATTTGCTCGGTAGCCCCTTTGCAGGTTAAACTCGGCGGGTCTCTACTTACGGTCCGTGGATATGGGTTCGCTGCCGTCTTTGCGCCCTATAAACCTAAGCAACAAGTCCCAACAATATTAGGAGCAAATAACCACTTACATCCTGAATTCTTCGTGAGATTTTCCAGTGTTCTGCAACTTCTATCTCTTCGATGCTGCGTTTCTTCTCAGTCGAGCCGAAAAGGGTTTAATTGACCAGCCAGTCCACGTGACTTCGTGCCGCGTTTTGCGCAACGCGTTGTTCAGACCTCAGCAATGGGAGGGGAAAAAAAACGACAGACAACCTGGGACAGTGCAAAACCCGCCCTTTCAACACGCCAATTCCGGTTGTCTCTGTAGCAACAGGCTAGTTGCCGACCGACGCGACGGTGCAACAGTGAGTTATTCGCTAAGACGTATTCTGCTGGATTAGATTGGCAGACACTGTGCCTTGCAAGATCTTGGACGATCTTGGCCTAGTTCGTGGAAGGGGAATAGTCCACGTCTTAAGTTTTCAAGAGTCCCCAGCATAGCTGAGAAAGCCCAGCCTAGGTGCCAATTGCAGACAAAGAACCTTGGAAGAAACCAGGCAGCAGTGTTATACCTGGATATCGTTTTCCTGGGTATTGTTGAGGCGAAAGTTTGTCAGCATCCAAAGTCAATGCATCACTAGTTAGTGAATTACCCGCTAACTTTGCACTCATATAACACAATTCTTCATCTCGATCAGCCATAGGATCTATCTTGGAAACCAACACTACTCTCAACCTAGAGCCTTTCGTTAATCTCATTTTGGTAAATTTTCTTGGGCTTCTTTTTAATTCCGAATACCCTGCGGTTGATTCGATGGCGAAAGGGAATTCTTCCAAAAACGTGGAAGACTCCTCAGGCCCATACAACAGTGAGCGAGAGTCCTCCTTTAATTGTCAAGAATGTAGTTGTGCAACACGTACTGTACAATCTTGAGATCAGAACTAACAATCAGTTATGATATCAGTTCTTGGGGAATACTCGACTTCACTGAGAGAACGTGCCTCAAGTCGGCAAACCAGATCATCCTCGTCCTTAAATCCCAGTGTTGTTGTCTCTGATCTTACCGACAGAGACTTTTCCTTTGACGAACGCCTGGTATCTCCTCGTACTCGGGCTGAGTCTTCTAATAGAGATGCCAGAAATGATAATGATATAAAACCGGCCGTCATGGTTGCGGTGGCCATAGAAAATAAGTCCTCTTTTGGTTCACCTTCATCTTCAACAGATGGAAGTGCCGAGAGTACAACAAACGGATACTCTACTCCTGCTACAACTGTAAATGGTACTCCAGCAGAACTTGTCAATCCTAAGAGCAAACGTGTCAGCGCATCAGCCCGTGCCCTTCAACTACGGTCAAGTGCATTCGCTCTAAGGAAAACCTCAGCCGGCACGAAACGTTCTGCTAAGTCTATTAGTGGGGATTCTTCACTCGACGAGAGCCCAGATGCAGCATTAGCTCGTGCGGTACAGGCAGAAGAGTATAACGATGCCAGCTCGAAAAGAGTAAAATGCTCCCATGAAATTCACAATTCCACTGATGACGAATTCAACCATGACTCTTTGTCCGACGCTCCTGACAATAAAGACAAGCTGTGTTCGCGGCCGAAAGCTAATTTAACCCGTGTGACTCGTAGCAAGGCTGGTCATCAACCTCTCGCACCAGCCATGAACCCCATGGACACCAATCGCGGCTGCAAGAGGAAGGGTGTATCCAAGGATATTATTGCTGACAGTGAAGGATCTTCTTTGTCGGAGGCAGATTCTGATCTTTCCAACCCATACAGCAGCGAAGATGAGATGGACACGTTCCAGAGTGACTCGAGTGACGAAGACTCTTCTGACGTGGACATCGATGAGTTTGCTGCTCCGCTTCCTCCGACCACCAGACCATTTCGAGCACGCGCCAAAACTACGGCTCCAAGTCATCGCCGCGTTCGCCGCGTGGGCTCCATGGGCCGCATGCGCATATATCCAGAAACTCCTGAAGAATTCCGAATGAGTGCACGCGTAAGGATTATCCTCCCATTGAGATCCTCCTGCAAACTAACCGAACTGTAGGCACTTCGCGAACGAAGAAAACTTCAGAATCAACATCCAATTATCAAAACGATGTGGGATGAATTGAAAAAAACACCAATTATCACTCCTACCCCAGCCCCGCAACCACCAGGCATCACCAGAAAATTGAAGTCGTTCCAACTGGAAGGATTGAACTGGATGATGCAGCAAGAAAAGTTACAGTGGAAAGGCGGGCTGCTTGGCGATGAGATGGGAATGGGGAAAACAATCCAGGCTGTGTCCTTGTTGATGTCTGATTACCCTGTTGGCAAGCCGTCATTAGTCGTAGTGCCTCCAGTTGCTCTCATGCAGTGGCAGTCGGAAATCGAGGTATGTTAGACGTGCAAATGCTTATCTGACTCTTTACTAACTCGGGGTTTACTAGCAATACACGGACGGTAAATTGAAAGTCCTTGTGCACCATGGGTCCAATTCGAAAGTCAAACACCTTTCAGCGAAACAGCTAAAGGCCTACGACGTGATCATGATATCTTGTAAGTTTATCTGTTCATCAGCAAAAACTGTTTTTCATTGCTGACCGCTTTTCGTAAGACGCTGGTCTTGAATCTATGCATCGCAAGGAGGTTAAGGGTTGGAAAAGAAATGATGGCCTTGTGAAGGAAGACAGTATGCCCAAAGTACCCTACTCTTCTTAAGTGAATGCATCCTTACGGTTTTAGGTGTTATTCACTCAATCCATTTCCATCGCCTAATCCTTGACGAGGCTCATAGCATCAAGGTAAGTAAGCTCTACACCATATTTCCTAGGACGAGAGCCTAGCTAACTTTACAACAAGCAACGTACCACAAGCGTAGCCAGGGCTTGCTTTGCCTTGAAGTCGACCTATAAATGGTGTCTTTCTGGTACTCCTGTCCAAAACCGAATTGGAGAATTTTTCTCTCTTCTGCGGTTTCTGGATATCAAGCCATTTGCATGTTACTTCTGTAAGGTGTGTCCGTGTCAGGAATTGCACTGGTCACAGGATGCAGAAAAGAGATGTACCCACTGTCGTCACAGGTATTTCTCTCCTTAAGCCTTTGTAATGTGTATTGATCAGATTCTAACTCCTTGCAGTGGATTTTCTCATGTTTCCATTTTCAATCAGGAAATTCTCAATCCAAGTAAGTTGCTTCAAAAGACTACCGTAAGACCTTCTCTAATGAAATTCAAGTCACCGAATCGGACTCTCCAGAGGCTCGGAAATCTGGCCTCGACAAATTGAGATACATAACCGATAGAATTATGCTCCGACGCGTTAAAAAGGATCACACGTCTTCTATGGAGCTCCCACCCAAACGGTACGAGAATACAAACTTAAGACATTGTGGGTGGAAGCGAATGCTAACATGTATTAAAGGGTGATACTTCACAATGAATTCTTTGGAGAAATCGAACGGGACTTTTCTTCCAGTATTATGACTAACACTAGTCGACAATTCGATACGTATGTCAGTCGAGGTGTTATGTTAAACAACTACGCAAACATTTTCGGTCTCATCATGCAAATGCGCCAAGTCGCCAACCATCCAGATTTAATTTTGAAAAAAAACGCTGAAGGAGGCCAAAACGTTCTCGTTTGTGGCATCTGCGATGAACCCGCTGAGGAACCGATACGGTCTCGTTGTCGCCACGACTTCTGCCGCCAATGTGCCAAGGACTACATCCGGTCGTTCGACGAGGGCGGAGAACCCGACTGTCCGCGCTGCCACATCCCGCTTTCCATTGACTTTGAGCAGCCAGATATCGAACAACAGGAGGACCATGTTAAGAAAAATTCGATTATCAACCGTATCAAAATGGAAAATTGGACGTCGTCAACTAAGATCGAAATGCTCGTGTACGATCTGTTCAAACTACGCAGTAAGAAGCAGACGCACAAGTCTATAGTCTTCTCGCAGTTTACATCTATGCTTCAGTTGGTTGAATGGCGTTTGCGGCGAGTTGGATTTAACACGGTCATGTTGGATGGAAGTATGACCCCAGCACAGCGCCAGAAATCCATTGAACACTTTATGAATAATGTCGACGTCGAGGTTTTCCTTGTCTCTCTTAAAGCAGGGGGTGTTGCCTTGAATCTCACGGAAGCGTCTAGAGTCTTTATCGTTGATCCGTATGTATTCCTGCCATCCCTTCTTTGACGTGATGATAGATTTGCTGTGTCGCTCAGAACTAACACTCCAATCATTTTAGATGGTGGAACCCAGCCGCGGAATGGCAGAGCGCAGATAGATGTCATCGGATCGGCCAGCGGCGGCCATGTGTTATCACCCGACTCTGCATCGAAGACTCAGTGGAATCGCGCATGGTCCTTCTCCAAGAGAAGAAAGCCAATATGATCAGGGGGACGATCAATAAGGACCAGAGCGAGGCGTTGGAGAAACTGACGCCGGAGGACATGCAGTTCTTGTTCCGGGGGACATAAGAGATGGGTTTTGTTTATCTTCGTATACTCGAGCAAGCGTGCGATTCTTACCACAGTGATGTTATATTATATTTTGCTAAGTTCTATACTAGGGTATGGAGATTGCGACCAGTTCTAAGTACCCTGTTTAATTCCCAGATACCGATGGTTAAGGCGGTTTATTCGTTCCTAGACGCCTTCTTAATGGCGTACCATAAACAATAAACAATTGCTCTCTCGTACAATCATCTGTAGGCCAGCTAAGCTAAGTCTCTAAATTAATACAGGCATTCACTAATGCATATCCAGTTCCCAATATTCAATACGCTGTAACCCCGTTACTATGCCTCCTCAAATCCTATCAGACGAGAATAGCGTAGAATCCAGTAACTAAGTGAATAACCACTGTTTTTTCTCGAATGCTGCCCTGCTCGGCCAATATCTGCGAATTTCATCCAGCTTTTATAGGCAGTGCTCTCAGGCGCTGCGAAGGACATTTACAAGGCAGGGAACTCATGGGCAGCTGGCTTGCGTCTCGCGGACGTTCGAGAACGACATCTCGGATTTGTTTAGGCACTCGGGCCTCTTCGCGGAACTCGTGTCACGGGTTCTTCGAAGGCACGCACTCATGCCTTTGTACGCAGGGCGATTAATCTTCTGGTCACCAGAAGATTATTGAATAGATGGAAAGAAGAAAAGAAAAAAAGGAGTTCGCAAGAATGGAAGATTTTCCGTGCGAGTCAGGGCGGAATAAGAATAGCCCAATCATAAGATTGGTGAACAAGCTTTTTGGTTACGAAAGAAATTCTTAACTAATCAGGGGTTAGCCGGGTACACTTAAAATGCATGATCTTGACACTGAGATAGAAGGTATGAAAGATTTGCATGACTAGCAATTCAACAGACTTCGCACATGAAGTAGTAGACTCAGTACGGAGTAAGCTTTAATTCTTATTAACAAATTTTGTGTTGAATTCAATGACTTTTTCTCACTCACAGTAAATATATTCTGATATTACTTCGTTTTAATAATCATAATATTTTACACCTTGGAAAAGATTTTCATAAGACTTTTAATCAATATTCATATGCTTATAAGTTCAATATGAATTCCTAGATAGTTGTTTATAGAATGAAAAATGACTAAGAGTAATTAAATTAATTAATTAAAAAAATAAAGATATAAAACTTTTAGATAAAATTATTCTAGTAGTTTTAAATTTGTTTTAAATGTTTTGGAAATCCTTTAAAAATTTTTTAAAATCTTAAAATAGATCATTAGAAATTAAACTTTCTAATAACATTGAAATTAAATCATATTCAACACTTAATTAAACTCTTACATATATATACACTTTAAAGTTACAAAAACACTAAAGGCTGTTTCAAAAATAAAATAAATATATGAATATGTAAAATGAAATAACATTAGTCATCATAAAGATGTAGTTAGTTATACTTAGATAATACTCTAAGAAGTATATAAGTCTCAACTTCATATGAATTTGTAGTAAAATTAATATTTTTGAATATTTCATTGTTAAGAATAATATAAAAAGATAAGACTTAGTTTGACATATTATTTATCTTAATTATAATTATTTTATTTTTGATTTTTAAACTAAAAGCTTTAATCATAGTAGTTATTCAGTAACTAGTTACTAGCTAATTAGTTGATAAAAATTTTAATAATTATATGAAGTTTTATTGCAAATTTAATCTTACTAAAATTATGAACTAGTTATCTGAATCTCATACTTAGTAATTATGGTAATTATATTAATTAACATTTTGAATTAATTTTGAATAATTTTTCTATTCTTATATTTGACTATGTCTTAAGTGTAATATTTAAAATAGCAGCATTTGAGCTTTGTATAGTGTTTAATCAGCTTATAAACTTGGTTCTTATTAACATGAAAAGAAATAAAAGTAACATTCCATATAATAAAACGATGATTAGTTATATTTTTAATAAATATCAGTTTGAGAAAATAATTTTCAACTGTTCAGATTAAAAAGCCACTAAACTAACAGATTCTCTTTAATTTAGCTCAGTTGAATCTACATGGAGACTGGTTTTGCATCCCTGCCATTGAGTCAATCAAGCAGGGTTGAATATGAAACTTTGTAGAAATGTTTTGTAGCTTCACAAATTGAAGGCATTTTTTTGCTTTTTGAAAGTGGAATAATTTCACGAGTTCAAGTCTTCTATCTCTATAGAGGTTCTTGTTATTTTCTTTCACTGATGGCATTTTCACATGTTGAATTAGGTTAGTAAAAAAAAAAAAATTCGAAGGCATTTTGGACTTGCACTAGGGTGGGTAGATGGGCTCGCGGGTGGATTACGTTAATATCTGCTCTCTTATCATGTGTCTCAACTGATTTGTTTCTGCCAACCCGAAAAAGGACATATATATAGTAACTAACGAACTGTTAGTTGATCGGCATCCCGAACATCGATCGGCATGCCGCTTTGGCACGCTGTTTGAACCCCGCCCAAATCTTTTGTCGAACTGTCATCTGGAGGGAATTCAAAAATCACAGGCGGGCAATCTGGCGCTTGTCCTGAATGCCGCTGCTGGGGATCTATACTTAGGGTTGACCTAGCAATTGCCCCTGAAGCCATTATGTTCTTTTACGGTCATAAAGAAGTTTTATGATGGGGAGACAATCGAGCGATTGTTGCTTATAACATGACCCTGACAAAGCTACCCAGGTAAATTAGGTGGCTCTGGTTGACATCCTGCGGCGGCGGAAAAGCGTGCGTTCGTGCATAGCCCAAACCAACCAAAGTTAAACTGGGTTGCCCACGGAACAATTTGAGTGGCAACAAATTTCCGGCGTACAACGGAATTGGTATAAATGCTCTTTCCACCGCCCTTTTCTTGTTTTTTTTTTTTTTTAAAAAAAAAAGAAAAAAAAAACTTAGTAAAGTTATGCAAGGGTAAGCAAGTCTTTACACCGTCCTACCCTTTGGCGTTATTTCCCGCTCACTGAACCGTTGAAGCCGAACAAATGTATGTATATTTAATCTTGCTACGTATCAACTCAGCGCCGCGCCTAGAAAACCATGGGCAGAGTCGCAAAGCTATAACAACGACAGCTAACAAGTCGCCAATCAATAGATAACTTCGCAAATTAATATCAATCATGCTAATCACTCGAGGCTTCTCTCTCACCAACTTCATCATCGGTTCGTCAGCTCTCTGTTTCCAAGTATTCGTCCTCTATCCATGGCACAACAAACTCGACAGAGACTTCGAGGAGCTGAAAGACGCACATATCTCGATGCTGGAAAAGGGCGAGAAAGACCGCACGGAAGAACTGAGGGCCATCCACGAGCGACTGAGAAATCTCGACAAAACTCGCAGATGGTTCTAGGTGCTGCATAGCGACATGTACGGCCTCTGAAACCGGCTTAGTTAGTTGACCTTGATACGTCATTCATGGTCAGAATCGTGCTGGACCGACATTGGTATCTGTCTCAGAAGGCAAACCCAATTGCGCATACGCAAAAGTTTTCAATACGTTCTCATTCCAATAGAAATGGTTCGAATTCCCTCGACTTCGTACGTAATGTCTGATGCGTTAAGCGACTATAGATTGCATGGATCCGGGGTTTATAGATGATTGGCGGTGACTGTGATGTTCATTGCTGAATGGTTTTTTCGATACCTTTTTTTTTGTTCCTCTTCTTTCCCCACCCCCCATTTTTTTTAATTAGTTTTCTATAACTAAGCATGCTTGATTTTGTCCGTCACTATATTGTTCGCTTAGTGTATCTTCGGGATTTTTTCGGTGCAGAGGAACAGCAAGGATTTTTTTTTCTGGCATTTGTTTCGACGAAGACATAGATAGATTTTGAGATATAGATAGAAAATCTTTAGCAATATAGGATGAGCGAATCTAAAACAAATAGATCTAATTCTCTAGATATTCTCCCACTCTGTTCGCGCTCCAACATTTAATTCGCCTCTATCATATTAGAAGCGACTCCGGAGTGCCTCGGGCTTTGGTCTCGGTCGATTTTTGGCTGCTGGAAAGCGTTCTCGTTGGTCTGTCTGCTGGCCGAGACAGCTAGATCGAGAATGTCGTGTCCCGGTATTTCTTCAAGTTCCTGTTTCACTGGGCTTGGACAGAGTGACCATAAGATATTTCCAAATTGGAGAAAAGGTAGTTACATAATGACGAAAAAAGAAAAAAAGAGAAGAAGAAGAAGAAGAAGAAGAAGCAAATGAAGAAATCGTGCGATTTCCAACGGTTCAATGCTAAAAGACTATTCAAATGTATGATTGAAATCTTTTGTGGGAGAGTTGATTGGAATTCGTCACGGTGGCCACCGATTCCTCATAGCTGGGAGAAAAGTGAATTCATTGCCTGCAGGTATTCACAAACTACAGGGGAAAAATCCTTGGGGCATGTTTAATACAAGAAGCGCGATTCTGGTAAAGAGTATGATTCCTTTTTGCCAATTTTTTGAGTCTGAGAAGTAAGCAAGATTGAGCGAGCACCAGGCTCAGATCATCCACAGAGAAATGCAGCTGGTAGTAACCATAGCTGAAAGGACACAAGAAAAGAAAAGTGATATGAAACAAAACTAGCTGTGTTAAGCTATGATAAGATGTATATAGGTGCATCAAGCACCCTTGAACTAAAGAAATTCAAAGGCCAAAGAACCTGAGAGGCGGGTAGCTGAATATAGATCCAAAACGGGACGCAAAGTCAAAAGTAGACATTAAAATACACAAAATATATGAAGCGTCAACGCTCTAGGGGAAGGGTAAAATTGCAAACGGGATAAACAACATGAAAGTAAAACATCGTTTGCATTAAGTGGTACAAGAAGCTTCCGTGACCGGGTATCAAAATATATTAATAGTTTGAAAATATACTTAGGTATGTAACTCAAATATACAGACAGACGTGGGATCCTCACTAGTCTGCATAGAACTCTGGCTGCCACTCCTGGCCAGGATATGTGGTACTGGACATGACAATTTCCTCACTCGAGTCATCAC